TTTCAATATGGGTATGGGGCTTGCCGAAATCGATAGAGTCTGGAAAATGAATTCCTGAGAAAACTAAAATACCTTTGCATTTTGTTATTAATATGTGTTCTTGTTTTAAATTTTAATAAATTAGTTCTTGAAACTTATCTACTAACAATAACGATTTTTAAAAACTGTCCTTTTTCACCGAAGGTTCCTCTACAATTCTTTCGTCCTAGAAAGTTAGAAATGTTTTCTTGTACACTTCCCAACAAATTTTTCTTATCCTCCTTCCTAAAATTCAGTGAACTGTGTACTCCTTTTACGATATAATCATTTCCAGTTTCAGAGTTCTACGCAGTGCCATAACATACGTGTCCCAAGCAGCCAAAACTAACACCTCGTATAGATCCTGAAAAGCGTGGGAATCATTAATCGGAAAAACAAAGACGTCAGAGCTTATAAGATGACCTCGCCTGTCGTTAACTTGGCACAAGTAGTTTCTTCTCCTTTTTCTTCGTTTTATATAATACATTGTTTCACTTCACAGAATAAATGCTTTTTGTAACATTTTGTTTTTGAAATCTCGTTGTGATAAGCTCATAGTGTTTTGTTATTTACAAATAAATATACTTTTCACATTTTAAATATATCAAACTCATGATTTTGCTGCTTTTCAGAGTTCTTTCCTGATGATTAATATGAATCATAACCTACATATGAAATGAATTTTTGAAAATTTGATCTAAGGGTTTGCGGGCAGAAAATCATAAACAGACAACATCATTTGAAAATAGTAAAATGTGTTGAGGGAACCAATTGCGTTATGATGAAAACCTCAATTGTCTTTCAGTTTGAAAACATTACCTCCTACAATCTTGGAAAAGTTTTGTTTGCTATTTTCTTGCTTAACATATTGAATAAAATAGTATCACATTTTCACTTTGTTTAAAAACTATCGAACTCAAATGAAGAAACAATAGAAAATCCGTGAACTGAACCATTGTAGCTGTATAATAGTGGTAATAATTATAAAATGAAATGAAAATATGAATTAAAAACTCAGAATTCAATTTTGTAAAATTAAATGGCATAGCACTCAATTTTTGCATTTTACACAGATCGAAATACGGAAATGCAAGCAGGACACTTTTCGTATATTTTGCAATGATTATGCTTTCAAAAAATTATGAATTTTATCAATCGTTTTATACTAGAGTTGTTTTGAGTTTATTTTTTAATTATATTTTATGCACACACACACACACACACATAATATACATATTTATATGTTATATAGACACCTACTGCATTTCATTGAGAACTTCGGTCACGATTAATTTTTGTCACCAGAAAGTTTCTTACAAACTATTTTTTCTCGATACCTTCTAAATGTAAGTGGTTCAATTATGTATTATTTAATGTAGTGATTACAGTTCCTTTACATATCTGATTTCTACGCACTTTGAAACAGAACTTTGTGCACGCTCAAACTAAACACAAGACACACACACAGCGCCCCTGCTTGCACACAAGAAAATACAATGATTAAACTGAACCAAAAATAAGAGAAGTCATGGAATAACAGATAATTTGATGGAACTTATTAATATTACGATACTTATTGAGGATCGTTGAGGTTACGACAAATAACGGATAGTTACGATAAAGCTGCGAAAACTATCCGTATAAGGGATGAGATGAACTGGAAGAGGTTTCAAAGGAAATTTGCTCGATCGAATTGACGTTACATATCGAACTATGAGTGTTCAGCATTTTTCCCGCTTCGCCATTCGTAAGCCAGTTTCAGAATACAGGATGTATCAGTAAGTAGTGGCAAACTTTACGGGGAGAGTACACTTAGACGATGGGACATCGCATAGCAATGCACGATCCGAACGCTTTTTTTTGCGCGTTAGTGACGACACAAACGCAGAAAAGGAAGAACACAAACGTGAGACAAATGTATTTTATTATGTTTATACAGCAGCAGAAACCTACAAATAAGAACAAAAATAAACAACGATCGTCATTAAAAAAGTTGTTCAAAGTTACGGCCCTCTACCGTGATTTAGGCCTCACTTCTCTGGCGCATGGAACATCTCATCACGAATGAAGATCGCGTGGAAGATGCATAACGCACGGTTCCTGCATTATGGTTCGGGTCGCAACTTTGAACAACTTTGAAGATGATTATTTTCTCTCTATGTTGTTTTTTTCTTTGTTTTTGTTGTACTCCGAATAATATGTGGACTTTCTCACCCCGTTCGTGTCCTTTCTTTCTTGACTTTTGTCAGTACCGCGCCAGGAGAGCTTTTCCGACCATGCATTGCTATGTGATTTCTCATCGTCTAGATATACTCTATCTCTCCTGAAAGTTTGTCACCGCTTTACTGATACACCTATATGTAATTGCGTCTGTATGTCTTTGTTTTATATGTAATTGTATCCACGTATCTACTAGTATTATCACATAACTTGGCGCATAGCTTAATATACATCTATTACGCACTGAATAATCGTGTACCTAATGTGTCGCACCCAAAATGTCTGTATATATGTATATGAATTTTGTTCTGTATATGATAATCCAACTATGCATCTGTACATTTTATCCTGTAACACGGCACCGTATCTCAAAAATCAAACTACGGTCCCAGTCTAAAATTAATTGCACCAATTATCTGTTCAGCATTGTATTAAGTACCTATTGTTAATGTATGTTAAAGTAGCACGTACCTAACGCTTATACTTGCTGATTACTGTGTACCTAATAGACGTGTATTAATATCTTTGTACATAGGTTAATATACTTATAAACAGCACAGATAACCCAGTAGCAAGACACTGTACTACACAATACTAATCTAGGGTCTAAATTTAATTCATTGTACTAATTACTTTATCTAGCATAACATTGCGCATCTAATGTTTCAGTATGTACATGTCTTATGTATCTAATAATAATGCTTCAAAGGATCATAGTGTACCCAACATATGAGTACACACTTTATGTATATATGCTACCGTATCCATGCTTTTGCATAAACCTTGTAACATGGCAATGTATCATCTAGTGTCTAACATTAATTAGCTTTAACGCCCCTGTATTAAGTACCAAATCTGCATGTATGTTTATGTTTTAGCGTATTAGCTCAATGACTACGTATGGTAAACTAGATGAAGGTTGACGTGGCGTTTCACCAATTAACCGTATTGGTACAGGGGTGGTGCGCACGTCCTCCGTCGCATGTCGCATGTACTGATACACCCCTGCATTAATTGACGTAAGATTAATATTTCTTCATCAAATGTAGCTGAACCATGAAACATGCTGCTAAGTATAAGTTCCCATACTGAATAAATTTAGCCAAATTTTACCTGTGAATATGTACAAAAGGGCGCCACTTGTGAACCTTATAACCTGTAATAACCTTTTATAACTGAAATAATTCCATGGATACTTACTTCTTTAAATTATTATTACAGTTCAACATTGTGTTCCCAATACTTATTATGGTTACCTCATTATGTTTATCTATATAATAACTATGTTTATTTGCTATTTTTATTACACCAAACAGATGTTTAATTTAATTTGTGAATTTCAATTTTTATTGAGATTATACTATAATCTCTTTATATATCTTGTCGTTTTTGTCCTAATTATTTTCAATAAATACTAGATGCGGAGCGTACGGTGGGATTGCACGATGTACCATAATAGGTAAACTCTAATCAGCGGTTCTCAACCGGTAAAACGCCTACCACTGGTGGTGCGCAAGAGAAAAATAGGTGGTACGCAAAGAAACAAAGTATTTTTAACTATTAAATTGAAAAATCTCTTGAAGAAAAAGAACAATTGGCAGGAATTTTCTGTGATCGAACTCTAACTGAAGATTTCAAAAATAACACACTCATTAACTTTGGCTAAACCAAAAAAAAAAGGAATTTAAAGGCATTTCAAATAAAACTATTAAACTTTTATTTCCTTTTTGCACTTTCTTATTTTGCACAACTTTTTGTGCGAACAAAGATTTTCTTCCATGTTATATTTAAAAAATAAATACAGAAGAAAATTAAAAGTGGATCCTAACTTAAGAATAAAACTAAGCGAAATGAGACCAGACAAAGAAATTGATATCTCTTAAACAGGCCCAAATTTCAAACTAAATTTATAATTAAAGTATCATAACTTAAATTCTGATAATTAAAATGGTAACCAATTTTTAATCTAATATTTTTTTATTTGTGCACATTTAATGCAAATAGCATATAGGTTGTGCAAATGGCAAAATATGTTTTTTCTTTAATGTTTCTACTGAGAAAATGAAAAATAATGCTTGTAAAATGTAGTGGTGGTACAAAGATTTTTCAATTTTTTTAGATGGTACACGTTAGTCAAACGTTTGATTACCGCTGCTCTAGACCATTTAGAAACGTTTCTTTGTTAATTTTAATAAAGCTTGATATTTTTAAAGAGTTAGTATGGGAAGACATTACCAGTGGACCCATGGTATATCGCTGCTGTTCCCCATACTTTTACCTCTACCTGTACCAGAATACAGAAATGAGAAGAAAGCAAAAAATTAAGAATTAAAAACTTTAGAAACTCTGTCTAAGAAGACTTAACAAATCGCTTGCCGATAATCACTTCCCCTTCAATAAGATATCCTCCTTATTTCAGTTTGAGAGAAGAATCCTGAATGGCTTTGCCAATAAGATAGTCTGGTGTTTCTAATACCTTAATGCAGTAAGTAATCACTAAAAACGCGGGAAATCAATTTGCCTAATATCAAAAAGACTTGTTCGAGATTATGCACGAAATAAAATGAAAATTTCCTCAACAAACAGATGGCTCTTTTGTTGATTTTAAGGCTCAAGCTGTTGGTTTTAAGTTGAAAGCATACAAAAATTCTCCGCGTTTATTACTTTTGGAATAAATCCAACTACGTAGTGTAAAGCTGTATTTAATGCTCTTTCAGATTTTATATGCCAAACTTATTGAACTTCTTTTTCTTTTACAGCATTGTGTATAGCATCGTTAATCCTCATAATCTGCCAAATGTCTTTTGGTAAGCTCTGTTTTATTTTCTTGATAATTCTTACAAAACATTCAGTAGTGTGTCTCAATTTTGTAAATATATATTATTAATGTGTCTAAGGTTTTATTTTACAAGATTTCACCAGAAATATTAGATTTTCATATATTAAATTTTATTTTGCTTTCAGTGATTTTTTAATCTTCTGAATACAATGCAATGCACTTACTTTTATAGTAGTCATTCGAAGTCACTAAATGGATGTTTCCATTACAAAAATGTATTACATTTTTTACTCTCATTTTAAATAACCGGCAAATATTATGTTCACTGATAATTCTAGCTAAATTTGTTATTAATAAAATGGAAAGGAACTGCTATAATGACATCTTATAAAACTGAATAATTCCCTTTTTTTTAGATTAAAGCTAAAGAAAGCATATTGTGTTTTGTTCCGAATAGCAGAATTCGTACCGACAGAAATAGTAATAATAAACAAAGAATCTGAAAGGTTTTAGATCTTAACAATTTCCCGAAAGAGTTTGAGAAGCTTTTTATACTCTCGCTGAGTTCCCAGTCTACCAGTCCCAGTCTAACCCATTTCTTTCTGTCATTTCAGCTTTATTCTTAAACAGCACTTTCTTTGCACGTACGGCATATACAATTCAACAACAAAATTACAAAAATTTTAAAAGCAGCATAGCAAAATACGTTTAGAATCCCCAATGCAACGTTAAGTTGTTGGCATATATTTTTCTGCTTTTCTCAATTCATCATATCAATGTTCAGTTTTCGTTTTCTTCCCAAGATGGCTTAACAAAACTTTTTTTTGTCATTTTATTGTGAACGTTTTATGTGTTTATTTCATTTATTAAATATCAATTTCATGGTACTTACGCCATATAAAATTGAATTCAACGGTAAAATAAATATTTAAAAACAGCATATTTTTAGAATTTCCGATATACAATTTCGTGCGCTAGAGATATTTTTTAGGGTACAGCATTGCCACTGTTCGCTTTAAAATCGTTGCGTTTCTTAGTTAAAATTTCGTTAAAGTTTTTCGAAATATAAAAAAGGCAATAAAATCAATTCGAATTTCAAAATTCGGGCTTCAAGGTGCCCATGTTCTGGTGGAGTTACCATGTACGTTATTCAAAATTCGATGGCTGTATGCACCGTTGTTTTTTTACAATGCGAGAAGTGTGCATATGTGCATCTAGATTCTTCTTTAATTTCTTTTAATAGAATGCAGGGCGATAATATTTTGTGACAACAATTTGAAAAGTGATGCGTCGTTTATAGTGATTCAACAAAAAATGCCGTTTTGAAGCTAATATCCCATTCGAGACGAACGTCCCTTTTGCGCTAAAAATTTGTAAACGCATAAGATCCAAGCCCACTTATATCGTTGTTTTAGGAGCTGGTAGGAAGAGTGTTGTTCCGTTGGTGATTTATTTTCCCAGGAATATTTTTAAGTACAGAAATAAAAATCAAAGCATGCGAATATAATGTGTTTATTGTGAGTTATAGATGCTACAGAACTATAATGAGCAATTAGCTTAATTCTAAAACATAAAAGTTAGAATTAAAACAAATTATACATAATAAATATACTGGCTTATTCACAATTCGCTCCGGGGCTTCAAAACTAACGAAACTAAGATGAATACAGCGAAAACAACCTTACAGAAACAATTCAAGATTTTTATAATAACACTTGGCAGTAGTTATACAGATACGTTCGGCCCATTTTTCTTCGAACAAGAAACTGTGTTCGGTGACTCATTTCTAGATATGTTAGAACCCTGGTTGTTACTCCCTTCCTAGTTGAACAACAATCAACAATTATGATGATTGCATTTTTCAAATAGACGGTGCTCCGGCCTATTTGCACAAGAATGTACAAGAGCTTCTTATTCGTGTTGTTCACCAACACTGGATTGAACGTACTGTAGCAACAGACAACAGCCTTCTTCCTTGGCCATCCTGTTCGCCGGATTTAACACCATGCGATTTCTTCCTTTGGGGATTTGTGTTAAAGACCGAGTTTATGTATCGCCAATGTCCGTTAAAAAAAGTTCCCGGTCGGAGAAAGCATGCGCTGCAGACCGTCACGGCGGACATGCTACACCGAATATGGGAAGAATTACAATGTTGATCTTTGTCTTGTGACCAGTGGTGTACATATTGAAAGACTGTGATTAATACATCAAAACATGGACCGTTGCCGCTGCTTATGCTGTAAGGTTTGCCCATATAAAGTAATACATCGATTTATTATTAATTTTTAAAACCGCACCATTCATTTATAAACACCCTGTGAACAGAAGAATTCACAGCTTTGAAAGTCTGTAAAAGCAAATCTCTGCAGCTGAATTAAAATTAATTGAAATATATAAATCTAAATAAATAATTTATAAGGTTATTATTATTTTAATTAACAAGTCATTATAATTAACTTATCTTTTCTGTTTTCTCACTAGAAATGTTGAGTTAGTATTTAAAAGAAGGGTTTCGAACTGTAAGATAGAGTGTGTTTCTGTCTCCCGAGGTCAGGTTACTAGGCTTCGCCAGCTCTGATAAGATTTTAATTCTTCGATTTCGCGTTATTGCTGCCGACATTTAATTATAATGCCGCTAAGAAATTCAGAGTCAACTTGGAGTTAAAAATCAATTTTATAGTCTGTGACTAATACGCTTAGTTTTAAGTTTGATTTAACTGTTAAAGTTACATCGCTACAAGTGGTGGTTGGTTTTGTCAAGATGTGCGTTTAATAAAAAGGTTGTCTGAAACTTTTCAAGACTCTGTTGTTACTTCAGACACAGCGATAATTCTCTTCAAGTTTGTTGAATTTGGTTTATTTTATTATAGCAAAGCACTCAACGGCTATCTGTCTAAGGGAAAGGATGCCTTCGTGGAGGACTTTCTACAGGAAACTGACTCGTGTACATGTTACACATGGGGAAAACATCCATGCAACCAGCCTGTTGCCAGGATTCGAAACCCAGATCGAATTACCAGCGTTCATCGCTCCGTCGCTTGGGGACGCCCACGTCCACGTTTTGTTAACTACAAAAAAGCAGTTTTAAATGTTTTCAGTTTCAAATTTTGTAAAACGGAGAAATTTATTTTTAGTTAAAATTAACATATCTCTCATTTTTCGTTTATAATGTACTCACTCACTTAAGAAGTATTATGTCAAAAATAAACTTATGGAATCCTAAATTTTCACATTAAAAATTCACTCACTCATAGACTCCTGCATAGATTTCAATTTTTTAATTTTCAAACTCAGGCATGGACTTCAACATTTTAACTATTTATTTATTTTTCCGATTATTTTTAGCACGATTTAATTTTATAATTCGGCATTTTATCATTTTCTTAATTTACTTTTGCCTCTATAAATTGCTAAATAAATCTTTTTTGTAAATCATATGAATTTATCAATTTAGAGAACAGATTTTTAAATTTAATAAAACGTGTAGTTATAATATAATGCAAATAAACACAGAGATTTGAGCTCTCGTACTTTTACAATAAAATCAGCTAAAGACCTAAAACTTTCGCAAACCTAAAAATATAGGATTTTCATTTAGCAGAATATTTTTCCTGATATTTTAATCCTACAAAATTTTAATTCTTGAATGGTAACACTCAATTTGAAAATCTTGCCTTTCTCAAGAAATTACCCATAACACCAAGCTAATCTGCGAATATTATTCCGAGCCAGCAATATGCGAGTCCTGAACCTTTACCTTGAATAAACTAGATTGAACTTATGCAATCCTTTAATTAAGAAAAGGTGAATTAATGATGCTTTTTTATATTTACTTCTAACAAACCACCACTGAACGCAGAATGCACCGGAATGCAGCTGCAATCATTAACAGCCGAAAAAGAGCGTTAGCCCAAATGGGTTATTAGTCTCGCAATGGAATTTTGCATTGAATCACTATAAACGTTGATTAACTTTTCAAATTGTTGTCATCAAATATTATCGCTCTGTGTTATTTAATCAAATTAATTAATAAAGAATCTGCATGAATGTATACATGTTTTCAGCACTGTGAAAAAAAAATGTACGTAGAGCCATTAAATTTTGAATAACGCTGCTCTCCACCCAAAAATGTGTGCTTGGAAACCCGAATTTTTAATTTCTAATTTTATACTTGAATTTTTAATTCTTTAATGAATTTTTGATTAACAAACTCAACTATTTGAAAGCGAGTAGTGGCAACACTGTACGGAATGAAACATTTTTGTCTCCAGCTCGCGAGATCGTCTGCTCAAAATTCTAAAGATATGCTGTTTTTAAATATTTGGTGATTTTACTGTTGAATTGAGTTTTATGTGGCTTTTTTATATTTAAGAAGTGCGAAGATCGTGATATTTAGTAAATAAAGGTAACACACAAAACGTTAATAATAAAAAGACAAAAACCATTTTTTCTACACATCTTACTTAGAAAACTGAACACTGATTTGTTGAACTCAGAGAAGAGTGAAAAATATATATATAAATATACGCCGGCACTTAACGCTGCATCGATAATTCTAAATTTTGTTAAATTAAATAAGTATTTTATGATTTTGCTGTTGAATTGTGTATGACGTAAGTGTGTAGAAAATTATACTTAATGATAAAGCTAAAAGATCATACCAAATGCATTAACAGGAGTAAGTGCTACAGACAACTAAGTTAGACAGCTCAGTGACAGCGCGGAGAAACTTTAACAAATCCTTTTGAGTGACCGTTAAAATCTGAATCCTTTCAGAATATTTTTAATAAGGTTATTTCGAACAGGCCAGGAAAATGCAGTAACTCTCTTTGTGCGCCATGCATTGACTGCGCAGGAAAACTGAATCTGCAACTGTATTATAAAATGGTTTCTGAATAACCATTTTATAATACAGTTTCTAGTAATAAAATTAAAAATTAACTGCAATATTATCTTCTGTCTCTTTGGCTACACATTGTCAACCCTATTATCATTTTAAGAAACATTCCAATTCGTTTCAGATTCTTG